GTTTATCATAATGTAATTTTGATATCAAAATTTTTTAAGATGGCTTGAGAATCTTTTATCATCTCTAATTATAAACTTTAACTCTAAAAATGGTTCAAATCAAGTAGATCTAAAAACACATAAAAATCTTGAAAATGGACGATTTAGATTTGAAAGATACACTATTTCACGGACCTGAAATTATTATTATTTTTTTATATTCATATATCTCGATGTCAAGATGATCAATTAGAGGATTTTCCAACATCCAAACAACCTTTTATGATGGATTTTTAGGTGCATCTTTATTTCTACATTTTAGGGTTGCAACCTTATATAAACTTACATTTAGAAATAGGTGTGGATCATCAACATTACATTTCTACTGATGAGTTGGAAAAAGTTTATATAAGGATGCTACATTACATTTCTACTAATGAGTTGGAAAAAGTTTATACAAGGATGCTACCTTATAATGTAGATCTACGAATGCCTCTCAAAAATTCATCGGAAAAGGTAGTTTTAATGTTGAAAAACCCTTTGATTGATCATCTCGACATCGAGATGGATGGCTATAAAAAATAAAAAGATTTTAAGTCTCAAAAATAGTGCATTTTACAACATAGTATCTACACCGTCCATTTCAATATGTTCATATGTTTATAGATCTACTTGATTTTAACCATTTTTGAAATCTAAAATTTTATAATTAGATATAAAAATAGATTTTGAGGTAATCCTAAGAACATTTTACATCAAAATTATATATCATGATAAAATTTGAAGGTGCACCTTACCTTTACACCTACAGATGCATCCGTATGCAAACTGCACCCTTTTGTTATTGAAAAGAATATAGCTAATATTTCACTAAAAGACAAAAGATATGCTTGTTATTTCGATAATATTTTTAAAATATTTACTAATAGACAAAGGCATTTAATAAAGTACCTCAAGTTTCACTCTATAATTACCTCTACCTTCTAGTAAAAATATCAACAATATCATTTCTACAAACAAAAATATCTTTATTATTTTATTGCTATAAAATAAAGTAATAAGCAACTAAGGTAATTTTGATAATTCACATCCCATTCTAAATGCAACCTATAAAATTTCATGGAGCTTTAATAATAGAAAAAACTATATACATTTGCATTTACTCAGCATAAGCACAAACTTAGACAATCCTTGTCATGACTTCCATGGTACTTTGTACTAGTGTTCTAGTAAAGCTTACACCACTAGTATCCTTTATAAGCTTGTTATATCCACCAGATCAGACAAAAATAATCTTCACTCTCACATGCAAGGGTGAATATTTCAAGAAATGAAATTTAACAAACACAACTTTATCATCTGCAAAACTCCTCCACTACTGTTAAAAACAGCATCCACTCACTTAGGAATAAAGGGACAATCACATCATTAGGTCCTTACTTCATATCCACCAGCACGCGTCAATGCTCGGAACCCTTTGTATGGGCGGTATGGCACATTTAAGAGTTCGAGTTTATCAATTTGGAGGCCAGAGAGAGCAACACCCATAATCTTGAAACCTACTAGTAAAGTGGGGAAAACATGCATCTTATCCAATCCAGACTCCAACTGTAGGGTCCCTGAAAGACACGGGGCTTTCTCTTTAGGAATCCTCCCTATAGACCATGAGCACACCTGTGAAAAGATAACATTTTCACAAATGAGAAACGCAGTAGATCTCGTCTTGCTTGCTTTAAATTCTATTCCTCAGTACTTATCCTGTGAGTGCAACCCAATCAACAGCGTATGATTATTAACTTTGAGAACCTCATGACATAAACGAGGATTAGAAGTGACATTTTTGCGAGTTCCAATCGTCTTTAACTAGAAGTTCTATCTGTGTTATTATAATAATCAAAATGAGTAAAAGCAATTAGTATCATATGTGTAAATAAGACAAAGTATCATCATCATCATTTTAACTTTTTCCCAATAAATTGGGAAAATAAGACAAAGTATACAAAAAAAAAATCGGGTTCGCAAAAACCCTTCAGTCAATCCTTTTATTGATCTGCACCTAGCAGCCTTGCCATACTTCTAACAAAAGGAGCACCTAAGAGCATACCTTGTTAGCGAGTATGTGTACTGTTCCATGATTAGAACTCAAGTCTTGTGATACAACAAAATAAGGCAATTGAAACTGTATGGTTATAGAATCTATGGTCTTCCCAGGATCATTGCGTATTCCAACAAGAACATTCAAACGACATGTTCCAGCATTTGAGCTTAACTGAGGCTTCACATAAATAGGTGTGTTCTTCAACTTCTTAACCCTGTAAATTGCCATTTGCACTCAAGTGAATATACTATATCAATATATCTATCCAATTATATAGATATATAGCAGAGAGAGAGATAGCAAGAGAGAGAGAAATTTAACCTTAGAGAAAACCACATATATGGGTTTATCTCTATATATACGTGTGTGTGTCAGTGTGACTAACTCTGAACAAAATACTATGGGTCACATTTCGAAAAGGGTGCAAGCTGTCAACTTATGTTATTTACCCTTTCTTTTTTCATGTCTATAAAATGAGTAGGGCAATTTTTTCATTTAAAAAGGGTATAATTGATATTCTTACTAAAAGACAAAGGGTGCTTTTCTCATTTCGATGAACGCATTTGTTTAAATTTTTACTCAAAAAGGCAAAGGCATTTTGTTGATAAAGTACCGAGAGCTTCATTCCACAACCATCCTTATCTTACTGAAAGTATCAACTATACCCTTTTCGATGACAAAAATGTTATTACTCAATCCATAGGCAATGGGAAAAGGAAAGGGGCACATAACATAATTTAACAATCCACACCCATTTCTAAATGTATATAAGTTTTTTTATGGGTATTAACCATAGATGAAGCCCCTTATGTGAGTGTGCTTGTCGTGACTAAAGGTATTTTCCAACCGACCTATAACTCATGAGCTTAAACTGCCCATCAGGTGGTACAAAGGACAAAATCTGATGGGACTCCCATGGCCGAAAACGTACACAAGGATGGAACCGCACATCATTCAGAATTGAAGGGTTTGCAAATGAGAGAGCCAAATCTGGAAGCCCGGAGAGATGGCAATTCACTTGAACTTCACCATATATTTCGCATTTCACCAAAGCGCCATCGCTGAGTATCATAAAATAGAAATACGGAAAATGCTTAGGCAAGAGAAAACAATAAAATAAAAATAAAAAGAAAGAAATCTGAATGCAGACACATTGTTGGTCAAACCATAGTAAACAACATATAGTCTCCTCTACCCGAATACAAAGAATCCCAACGGTTCGGCCAAATTCAGATGACTTAGCAAAAGAAGATAATAATATTTAACTAAACAGCCTAGATTATGCATAAGTGGATGTTGTGCTTTTGATGTCTAACAGCATAATAAGTACTGCAAAGCTTGAGACTTAATCTGTGCAAAAGCATTAAAATATGCATGGACATGAAATCATGAAACCAGACTCCACGCTCAATTGCCAGATGAACTCAACAAGGAAGAAGCATCAAAAGTATCAAGCCTCATTACATTAAGCAATCACAGTAACTGTAAAAGAAACCTACATATCCTAAACATCCATCTCCTTCTCATCTTAATACCCTAGAGAGATCTTTAAATGGCAGCAAGTGAACCTACATCATTTTTTTTCTTTTTTTTAATGGATTCTTTATATTTTTCATTTTATCTCTTTTTGGAAAACTTCAAAAACAGATAAGACCTGCGGATTAAGATTTCCAAATCTCCAGTCAAATTGAGGGTTAGGAAGTACGAAACCACTTATGATTTTACAACCTTGATTTCTATTAAAAATCCATAACTATCATTCTTTTGGCATCCCTTCAATAGTGAAAAGCAAAAGTTGCCAGCTAGTTTTCAATATACTTACAATTGTAAGAAAAAAATTGGAAGAAAATTCTATATCATAATTTTAGACTCATGTGAGGCCCAAAAAGACATGGTTGGAAGTAGTGAAAAAAGATATGAGGACTTATTGCCTCACTAAGGGTGTGACCCTTAATGGAGCAGAATGGCGGACAAGGATTCGTGTAGCCGACCTTAAATAGTTGGGAAAAAGCTCTGAGGATGATGCTGATGAATTTTAAACTTATGTGTTTCTACTATTTAATGCTTGTGTGAACACCAAGTACCTTCAAGTCCGCTTTTCATGGGGGTACCAACTTCATTAATGTGCGGAAAGCAACAAAGAAACATACTAAGAGCCCTCTTTCGAGAAGGGACTAACTGGGCTACAATAAATCAGGAAACAGCTCCATCATTTGCCTCCGTATGGTAACTTAGATCTATACAACAGAAATAAAGTAAAAATTTACCATCGTCTACATGGTACATTCGATAAACCACCAAATGATAATAAGGGCATCACTAAAATGACCACCAGGACCAGAGGAAGCTTCTGGCACAATCTATGCCTCACACTCTTGGACTTGATTCCAAAAACCCACGAAATGATGTGGTTAGGACGGCAGACTCTTGAAGAACTAGTACAGAAACAAGACAAAATTTTACATCAAATCCCAAATTTAAAATTGTTTCTGCACATACTGGTAGTGTTGGACTTTGATTCCAATAAAACCCACAATATGATCTATTGGCAAGGCAGACTCCTGAAGAACTATTGACAAAAACAAGAAAACATTTCTTGAGTTGATAGATATTAAAAGAGGGAAATGTTGTTTTCTACATCAATTCCCAACATTCAAATGGTTTTTGCATATTCTGGAATTGTTCTCATACCCCATAGGACATCTAAACAAGCGAATGTAAACGTGAGCATTTCAAAGTTAGCTGAACCCCCAAAGGGGATAGAAAAGTGTTCCCTTCTTGTTGAAGCAAGACCAGATCAAGACAACACAATTAGCGGAAAAGCAAAGTGAATCATAGATAACTCAATAATCTTTGGGTGCAGCTGTCAATCCATTCTTTACTATCATATATGAGTAGAACATTTTAATAGCAAACAAGAAGATGATTTTAATAGCAAACAAGAAGATGATTTTAATAGCAAACAAGAAGATGACCAAGTGAACCCAAGAAAAAAGAAAAACACATGTTGGCAACCAAAGTACAGTTACGATGCAAATGCCACAAAAATCAGGCAGACATAATCACAATGATTGAAAGCACAAAATATTCAATACAACTTGTCTTCAAAAAAAAAAACACATATTCAACACGACTCTTGCTTCCATAATATTTCTGTTTAAGGTATCCAGTTTCCATGGGATTTGGTTTTATTTATGACATTGTAGGATTTGTCGATTGGCAAACATAGACTGCAAGAAATTTTTACAAAACCAATGGATTATCACGATAGCATGCATACTATATATTTGAACTCACTTGACAAACGCTAAACAAAATACGCAGGCATTTCAGTCATTTTTTCAGGAGAATCAAGAAATTTCAAACGCCCAACATACATGAGACCTAGGGAACAGCCATTAATACAGTTATATCAGTATCATGCGAGACATTTTTTTGCATGCACCTGCTCACAACTGCATCCATTTCCTCAACAAGATCGACATAAACTTCATTGTTTGCATGCTTCAAGTCACTTGTTCTCCATGGCACACAAGATGCTGTCGCACCTGGAAGGGTGTTGCTCACATTTGAACTGCTACCAGTCACAACACTCAACACTTTGCTGACAAGATTTGGTGGGGCTATCATTTCCTTCAGAATGTTGGGTTCTGTGGTTAAAGGGAAACCATTGTCCATCATTTCATCTAAAAGCTGCAATTAATGCCATATACTCTTGTCACGGTTCAGAACCCCACCGCACATCACATAAAAAAAAAAAAAAGGTTAACTAGCAAAAGCTCCTAATACAAGGGTCTCCATTGACGATGAATAATCAAAATAAATTCCTTGACCAATAGAAAAATTTTCAAGCACAATTATTAACTAAAATTGGGAGTCATAAAAGTGCATAACTTTAGGAATTCTGAATATTAGCAGTAAAAAGGGGACAAGCTTGAGCTTCAATCATTTGGATGATTGCCAATAGTAGGTAAGTAAAAAGAACACTATTAAAAACCAATGATATATTGGTGAATGAATTAACATATTTCTTCTATGACTCTTTTGAGCCTTGTTAAACATTGGTTATCTCTATCTAAGATATTTTAAGGAGGCCAACAAGGTTGCAGACTTCAATGCTAAGGAGGAGGTTTATAGAAGGTAGTTCTTAATGGGGATTCCCTTCAGATCCTATCAACGTCTTCTTCAAAGTCATTGCTTTCATAGATTTTCTTTGTTCTCAACCCTCTTTATGACTTGATAAGTTAATGTATGGTTCTGTTTTGAAAGCTAATAAAAGCAGACTGCCGACACCCCCATGATTTGTTTAATAGATTAACCTTCTAACCTGAGACCTTCTCAAAGCATCGCAAAATGAATCCTAACACAAAGATGCGCCAACGCATGATTGCAAATATATCATGGGTGAATGGGAAGACCTCAGTCCACCCAGGCTCTATGCAATTATGGATTTTGCTCAAAGTGTAGGTGTCTCATCAGAACTATCCATATGATGCATAACAAGTACCGTTTCAAGGACTCGATTTCACCACTGTTGTCAAATCAAAAGAACACATATTTGAAAGTTTACTGAGCATGCAAGCACACGTCAGTAATCAGAACAGACTATATAATTTATTCCAAAACAATTCCAGAAGTAATTTCGTAATTGCATGTAAATACGTAAGGGTTGAATACAGGGCCAAAGTAGGATTACGGCCCCATCAATTATTACTTGGTTAAATTCAAAGGCAAAACAAGTTTAGAACGCCAGGGAAGAATTTTGTCCTCAGAATGGTAAAATGGCAACATAAACAAGTTTGGGACACATTACCTCATATACAATGACGAAGTTATCCTTGATTAGGTCTTCATTCAAACCTCCAAGGTAATCTGAAAGGACATCTGCCACTTTGCTAAGAAACTATGGGCCAGAACAAGATATAAGAATTGTTAGTCCTGTGCATTAAAGCAGGATATCAAGGAAAAACACGTAACTGCAATAAATTTCAGAACATGGTATGTGTATGCAGGTCTCCATCTCATTCAAATCATAATAATAGCAAAATGCACGACATAAGACACTTATTGCAATGAAAGCTCCCACTCTTGTAACAAGCACACAGGAACGCCCTAATGACAAACGAACAATAAAGTGACTGAGCCCAACGTATATGTGGGTCAAAGGAAGCACTATATATTGCAGCAATTATTTCATCCTTATATATATGGAAATAGTCCTAGATGCCTACTAAAAGACTCACAAGCTAATCATAAAACGATTATGTGAAATGTATTGTACCCTCTAGGATATCTATTCAAACATTAAGATAAGGGATTGTATATTATGAGACCATTTATCTTTCTTACAAGGAGGTCAGAATTACTCCTAGTCATTAGATGTCAAATTCGATGGCCTGGGGTGTGTCACAAAGTACAAGAAAGTTTCTTCTGAACTTTGAGTTTAGTCAATGACTTGCTTACAACCACCGGATTTGAAATCTAAAGGGCAAGAGTGATTGTGAACACCTTGTGCTAAAAGTAAATGATCTCTTTGTATATTTTTCCTCAAGATAATTAGCCTTAAAGTCCCAAAGGCAGAGATGTATCGGATACTAACAAAAACCTCAATAGATACAAGTCTATGTTAAATAATTTGATTACTTCCATCATGAAAAGCATTTTGTCATCCTCTTAAACAACTATATAATTACTTCCATCACGAAAAGCATTTTGTTATCCACTTAAACAACTATATAATTACTTCCATCACGAAAAGCATTTTGTCATCCTCTTAAACAACTATGTAGGCAACTAACCACTATTTTTCACCAGACAGATATATGAACAATCTGCAAGCCAACAAAATATAGCCATAACTTACCATAATATATCTAAAGGAAAGCCCATACATCAGCAATATAACGTAAAATGCCAATTTCCAATAACCAAGGCATAAGAATGGACGGATATGACAAAGAAGTCTTGAAGGTCTACCTCTAATGCCATCAATGGAGGCATCTCAACCTGTGCACAGGCTAAAAATGTGATGCCTTCACGAACAACTTGAAAAAGATAATGTGTTGGGGAGGCAACCACCGAAGGCACCTAGGCCATTCAGAATACAAAAGTCACCAATGTCAGAAAAATGGTTATCTCTTTGCAGAAAATAATTCATTTTATGGGGAAATCCTTTGAGAGAAGCACTTTTTACTAAGCATACTACTTGACATGTGCAGGACATGATTCCTTATTTCAAGCAAGGTTCACAATAGGGCATCAAAAACTTGGTCAGTTAAATAATCAAATAATAATATCTACAGCAACAACAATAATAAGTGTAGAGACATGTCATTCCATAATGGGTGTATCTTTTTCACATTTGGGTGTACCGAGGATGGTTTTGATGACATTTTATCAAGGTTATGATGAAATTTCAATGGAAAAAACTCGTCCATTTCATTGGCATAGATGAATCAATTGTCAGCAAGAAAATAGAAAAACAAAAAAACAAAAGTTGCTTATTTTGCACAGTTATCACAGGATATGTGTACCTTATAAGGTTCTCCATAGGACAATGCGTGTTCCCAAAACCAAGCGCATATGGATCTGTCCACTTGATGTCCAGTCCACTGTTTCTCAAGCATTACCTCCCTGTAATTTAAATTAAACAAAAAAATAAAAAAAATCAAATGATACTTAGTGAAAATAAACAAATAAAATAGAACATGAGTCAGTTTCACAAGATGTCTGAAAAAAAAAAAAAAAGAAGCAAGATCACCAATTTGGGTATGGGAAGAGATCGAGAAATTTTTAAACCCATTTGAACAGAAACTCATATTTATGCTTAAGTACCCATAATGAAGAAGAAGAAGAAGTAATTGATTTCATAATGCAATAAAAATTCAGAGATATGACGGCAAAACACAATTAAAAGAAACATGGAAATTGACGCAACGATAATAACAAATGGAAATTAGAGATACCCACCCACTCCTCAATCACAGCAAAACCCCAAAAAAAATGAAATAATTGACTGTATGATAATCACAATTTATAGGACCAAAATAATAAAGAAATAACCATAAGAAATAATAAATCATATCTGCAACGAACAATGAAGTAGTGACGATGTAGATTCAACATAACGTAGCGACATTTAATTTGTTGAGAGAAAGAGAGATTTGTTAAAAATTAAATTTTTATGGAAATATAGAATACTAAATTTGAATATTTGAGAATTAAAAAGCTTATTTTACCCTGTGTCTGAGAGGAGAAAGATGCACTGAAGCATTTTGGTCCAGCTACAGAATTGGGCTTCCATTCAAATTTGTTTATAGTGTGGGAGTAGGAGAAGCACCCTAGAATTTCTAGAAATAACGGATTTGTCCCTTAACGTGGACGAATGAGATTTCATTCGGTTGAGAACATATGGGCCTGTTTGTATCCTAGTTAGCAAGTCGGCAAAAAACCATATATCAGCAAACTAAAATATGCGTAATAAATTAATTTTGTTCCAAAAATTTGAAGGTAAAAATTAGGCCAAATTACGGATTACGTAATATTAGGTAAGTTAAAGTATCGTGAATATTTTTAAGATTTGACTCAAAAAAAAAGAGTGAAAAGATCAGATATATAAAGATGACACCGGATAAGATTACGATTTGTAATTGTTCTTTGGATACATTAAAGATATTGAACAATAGTTTTATGGTGGGTAATACTTTAGACAAATTTTTTATCTTAATTTTTAATAAGTGCATCAACAATACTTTATTATTATGCACAAAACATGTGATAGACTTATTGGAAGCATATAATAAAACAACAATACTAAACATAAGAACTAGATTAGCAAATAACAAGAATTGTAACCCAATATATAGGATTATTGTCAGAAGAAAAATAGTAATCCATAAAAAATGCTTTGTTTTAGACCAATGAAATAACAAAAAAGTTTGAAAAGGTGAAATTAATTAAACCTTGTAGAAAGAAAGCAACAAAATGCCTAAACAAATCTAACCCTGAATTTTGAGCCACTAAGAATTTTAGTTGTCATTTATCTCTCTTGCTCAATACATTCATGCTCTAGATTTAGAGAAAAAAAAAAATTTCATAAGGTAACTCTTCCTACAAATCCACCTATATGTTAAGACATACAGTTGGTAGAACAATTTTTTGAGAATATATTGCTCGTGTTTTTTTTTTAATATACTTCTTTAAGATATAATTTTATCGAATCTTTTGTTACATCAAGATTCTGAATTTAGCCCAACAGTGTTTATCTCTAAACCAAAATTCAAAGATATTAAATAAGTGAAAAGTATTAATTTTAATAAAGTTATATTTTGAATTTTTATTTGAAAAATATAAAAATACGAATTTATACCGGTTTCAATAAAAAAACGTGATTTTTTTAAGACACTTTTGAAAAAGTCAAAGTTCTGAACATATTTCAAAAAGATTAGTGATGAAGAGAACGTATTTTAATTAGAAACTTGCTAACTATGCCTACAAAGCCTTGCAGAATAGGTGATTTGTTTTTATATCCAAATAGGAGACGTCAATAAGGGGATGGGCAATAAGTCACTCCACCACACTGGTGTAGAGAGTCAGGTTACCATCTTAAACAAATGGCTAATTTCATACATGACCATAGAATAATATACACTTCATAACGAATTTCTTAAACATCACACTCATCCAAACATTTGAGATTTGAATCCGTGACCTCTAGACTCTCCATATGGTCGTTCTACCGCCTACATCACACAACAGTTACACCTAAAGCTTCAAAATTAGTTACAACTTACAACCAAAGCAGTAGAAATAATATTTTTTTATTTTTTATTTTTCAATTTTTATATATTTCATAGAAAATAAACAATTTGTAATTAAGAATTATACAGACGAATCAGGAAGTGCTACGACTTTTTGCCAACATATTAGATACCCCAACTGAGAACCCGGCCAGCTGGTTATCGAAAAGACTACCGATAGAGAGTAAGCCGGGCGGGCGTTACAAACCTTTCTTTCCTCCCCATTCAATCCATTTTTCTTCTTCTTTGCATACAAGTTCACATGCAACAGAGAGGCACTAAGTTACCCCCATATGATTAGTGGAGTTCATGCATGCATGGACATTGGAATGGACCAAGCTGCAACTTTCTTCACTACAAGCCTCTATTCAATGGCCCACAACAAAAAAGGCCTAAAGTAGTTGTTCGCTTAATGTTGCTCCTCGTCTTTCTTGAAAGGATGTTTATATAAGGCGCTCACTTTAAACAAATGAAATAAAGGTGCACCTCCATATACTACCTCTAAATACTTTTGGAATATGTAGTTTCGATTCTTTTGAATGTCAAATTTTACAATTGAAATAAAGGCGCACCTCCAAATACTGCCTCTAAATACTCGTGGAATATCTAGTTTCGATTCTTTTGAATGTCAAATTTTTACAGTGGCCTAAAAATCTATTTCTACCCCTATCTATAAAATTTAAAGTTCAAAAATAGCCTTGAAGTCTTAAAAATAGACAGCCCACATATTATATTATAAGACACACTACTTTTAATGCTTGAAATCTTCTTTTTTTATATGTATTCATACATCTCAAGGTCAAGATGATCAATTGAAGGGTTTTTTGCAATGTCGGAACATCTTCTCCAATGGAACTTGGAACATCTTCTCCAATGGAAATTTAAAATGCACATCACTTTTATAGTATAAGATTGACGCTTTACGTAAACTGGACAGAAAAGTGAGATGCATTCAGGCCTACCAACGCCAATGTTATCACAAGTTACACTACGATCACTAATAAGAAAACTCTCCGCCTACTTCCCTTAAAAGTCTTCAATGCAACAACACCTCTTGAATGGCATCATTACAAGATGGAATCAAAAAGACCTCTCGTTCGTCATCTGTCTGTCTCTAAAGAATGTACGAGAAAAGTGTAAAAGAAAAATTAAATGGAACATACAATGACCAACCAGTTGCATGCCAGCTATTTTACAATAAATTTGTTTGTATTAACATTAGTTAAAAGCTGAATAACACATTAAGGAAATGCCCCAGAAGTCAGAACAGCCTCTCTTAGCCTGAAATAAAGAAACTCTAATGCAATTACCTCTTCGTTAAGCAAACAAACATTTACTCTTTTGGAAATACAGTACATAAAAAAATATCACATAAAAGAAAGCCCAAATCGGGAAAACCTCAATGAGCGTAAGAAAGAGAGAGAGAGAAAGAGAGAGAGAGAGAGAGAGAGAGAGGAGAGAGTACTTACAATATAAGTAAATAGTAAAGAAAAGTATGTCGTCGGTACCGACCGTAACTAAACGAAAAAGTAACTCGTCGACCGTACGTTACTAAGTACGGAACCTAATAACTACC